GCATCCCAGTGACCCCGTGGAGCTGGTGGTAGCAGGTGAGTGGCCCGGCTCAGTATCCCCACTCCCAGCCCCACCCCCAGTCGGACCCTCAGGGGCAGGGGCATGTGCAAGGGGGACAAACAGGAGTAGGAACCCCCTCGAATCAATGGGGCTGGAGCACAGAACTCCTCCGTGGAGCAGAGCCAGCTCCTCTGGCTGCGGGGGGCACACAAAGTGCCCCTCCAAAAGCAACCACATTTTTATTCCTGTGCACAGCCCTGATCAGGGGGTCTCTGCACCAATGGGATGCTCAGAACCAGCCTCTGCCCTGAGCTCTGGCCCAGCAGAGGGGATGCCCAGCTGGGAGGCAGGGACAGAATCACTGGTGAATTCCCCAGCAAGGGACAGCAGCAGCTTTGGGGATGCACAGAGGAGTCGGGGCTCAGGGGCTGCCCAACCGGCCCCACCCCCAGCCTGTGAGTGCATTCCCTCGCTGGCTGCGTGATGCCCACCTGAGCTGGAGGCCAGGGCCAGTGCTACCATTAAGGCAAACTAGGCGGTTGCCTAGGGCGCCAAGATTTGGGGGTGCCAAAAAGCGTTGCCCCCAATTTTTTGTACAGCATTCGGCAGCTCCCCACCCCCTTGGCCCGGGAAGCCGTGCAGGAGCTGCCCACCCCAGCTCAGCTCTGCTACACCCCCTCCCCTAGCACACGGTCGCCGCTCCGCTTCTCCCGCCTCCCAGGCTTGCAGCGCCAATCAGCTGTTTGGCACCGCAAGCCTGGGAGGGGAGGAGAATTAGAGCGGGGGCGGTGTGCTCGAGGAGGAGGCGGAGCAGAGGTGAGCTGGGGTGGGGAGTGTCGGTGTCAGGGAGCGAGGGTCCTTCTGAGTAAAGTTGGAGACCCGGACGCAGACCCGTGATGGAGCCTGTTGGGGACGTGGCTGAGTTTCGCATCCGAAACATGAGCCAGGGACATGCAGGGATTTACAGCTGCCGATATAGCACCAAATCTGACCTCTCCTTCTGGTCGGAGCCCAGCGACTCTGTGAATCAGCCCCACACCCAGCCGGATCCTCAGGGGGTCTTGGCCCCGATGGGACGCTCAGAGCCAGACTCTGCCCTGAGTCCAGGGCCCAGCAGATGGGAAGTGGGGACAGAGTCACTGGGGGGGTTCCCCAGCCAGGGGGCAGCAGCAGCTGTTGGAGTCTCAGGGCTGATGGCTGGGTGCTCG